TTGATGATAGACATTGCCTTCCATTTTATGAAAAAAAAAAAAAAAAAAAAAAAACTATGGTATTGTATTGTTTTTGTAAAAATGTATAAAATAAAAACAAATAAAAAAATTAAAATGATGACGTGCAATTAATGTGCATTATGATATTGATAATGGCAATTTTTGATAATTGATAGCAAAAATTTTTTTTTCGCTTGATAGAAACATTTGGGTGAGCAATAAATTAATTTTAACTTTATAAAAAATACAAATAAATTACTCTTTTCACAGGACATCCTAGCACGTCCTTTTAAAAATGAGAAAAATAATTAAAAATGGCACATTGAATCTTTTATCAAACTAGAACAAATGCATTTACGCAAAATATCCTAGATATACGGCCGCAATTGAAGAATCACCTCCATATGTCCACAACAGCACATTTATCCAAGGGTTAACATATACTTTTTCCAAGAAGTCATGAGAGTCTAGAGACTACATGAATTTTTATTCTAACACAATTTGGCTAATGTGATTTAAGGTATGAAGTGCATCATCTGAGCTCTCCGATGTGGAGAAACACCTTTCTTTTGCATAAAACCTTGAGACAGGAAAATTATAATGCAGATCCAATCGTAATGAAAATAATTAATAGTCAAGCAACTAGAGTAGTCACATGATGACATAAAAACACCACTCAACATCCTAGTAAGACAACAAATATAAATCAGCCTAATTTAATATAGAGAAAGCCAACATGGATACACAGCAAAACGACGGCTCAGGCGCCTGATTTACAATGCTTTTACTAAGGAAAATATTTATTTGCTCGCAGAAAAATACAGGACATAAACAAGGCAGAGTGATTTCAGGAAGAGCCAGAGATTGCATTGTGATGCAATGAAAGTGTAATATAGTTAAGACGTTATGCCAAATACATAAGAAATGCACACCATTTCCGACACAGATGTTGCGTGACAAATGTTTGCATCTGAATGCATCACATCACGACAACACCATCTCCTTCGAAATGCTCTTGTTTCCAGGATAAAAGGATGGCAGGCATGCTAAAAATAATAAATAACAGATCAATTCTACGAGGACGCAGTGCAAGTGAGTCGCAGATCGCTCGGGACTCGGGTCGTCACAGTCGTTCATATCAGAGCAAGAGAACGCTAGACTTGTCAGCGAGCGTCTTTTACTCCCTCAAGAGTGCAGACGGGGGTTGGATGGTGGCCAGATGAGGACAAAAAGGGCCATCTGTCCTTAATAAAGAGGGCAACGTCATACGAGGGACTTCAGGGACAGAGAGCATCCGTCCTTTTCATGTCAAGCCCATACTGTCCCGCTTTCATCGCCCTCAACCGCAAACATCTCCACTGATATCAATCACATCAATTCATATCTCTCCCAACACACTTACAATACAGGATACTGCAAATATTTACATATTCAGACAAATGCTTTGGAAATTCGCCATCTTCAAACTCGCAAACAGAGCTTTTAGTCTAAAATCTGAATACAGTTTGAATCTTTGCACTATTTTTTTAATCTTTGGAACTGTATTTCGATTGACATGCTACATCGTTGTCATGTGAATATGAAAACAGATGCAAATTCAATATATTACTACACATAATCTCAGTAGCATGGGGCAAATAGGCGAAAAAAGGAAAAGAAAGAATATTAAAACAAAAATTCAAGTCATATAAAAAAAGAAAATAGTGTACACGAGTATCAAAATTTGATATACTGCTGGAATGGAATAAAAATACATTTGTGAGTTTGTGTGTTTATTTTAAAAAAGGACATCTAAGTAAAACAATACTATAAATATGAAGCCTATGGCCCGCCGCTGCAGGGATCTCAGGACGTCTCGTTGACGGTCCTCTCCAGCTGTATGACTTTAGCCGTCTCGTTTGACCACTGATCTGACCTGCCAAAACAAAACCCAGTGTTCAGCATCCATGTGTCATCAAATCATCAAATCGAAGCAGCCACAGAAGGACGGTCATTACCTGTGTGAGTGCAGGTCTATGAGAATGGCCTTTTGCGCTCGTGTTTCATTGGTGTTTAGAATAAGTGGGCGGGGCTCTGCTTCACGAAGCTCCGCCTGCTCCTGTTTGTGCTGCTGTTCTAAACGCCAAGCCGCCATTACTTCGACCTGATGGTCCCATTCAGGATAATCCCCGCCCAGCCCGACGGGATGAGGCTCGTCCAGACCCCCGTGCTCCGGAAGGGACAACAGGTTCCGGGACCTCACTGTGGAAACAGCTCTTTTATTAGTACAGTAGTGTTTTGTTAAAGCGGTGCATTAACTGAATGACGCGCGTGGGAGAAACGTGATGCGGGCGGATCAGAGATCAGCGATGGCTCTGCTTTTAAAGGCATGATAATTACTGGCCCACTCCAGCACTGATAATGACTCTCAGCAGCTCAAGAGTGGATCCAAATCCAGCCATTCCTCCATTCATTAGTCAACAAGAGACAGAGAATGATGAGCAAATTACAGCAGAGACTGCAATAGACACGAGTGCTGTGTGTATTAGGGTTGGATCGATATGAAAACGTTCAGTATGACAGCGGCTCTAGTACCTCTGCATTAATGCTAAATCCATACTTTAGTCAACACATAAACAGCCTGACACGCTTTAATATTGTGCACGGAGGCAGATGAAGACCGACTGCTGAATATGTGTAATAGATTATTATATCATGCAACAGGAACATTCATTAAACCAATAACTGGAATATACAGCGGGGAAAATTAGTATTGAACGCGTCACCTTTTTTCTCAGTAAATATGTTTCTAAAGGTGCTGTTGACTTGAAATTTTCACCAGATGTCGGTAACAACCCAAGGAATCCATACATACAAAGAAAAGAAAACAAATAAGTTCAGAAATTAAGTTCTGTGTAATAAAATGCAATGACACAGGGAAAAAGTATTGAACACATGAAGAAAGACAGGTGCAAAAAGGCATGGAAAGCCAAGACACCAGAAATCTATCAGTAATTAGAGAGCAATCCTGCCCCTAGTGGAAATTAATATTAGCTGCTTCAGTCCCAACACCTACAGTACCAGGATGATGAAGATGAAACAAGGCTGGACATTTCAGCAAAACAATGATCCCAAACACAGCCAAGGAAACTCTCGATTGGTTTCAGAAAAAGAAAGTAAAGCTGCTAGAATGGCCAGCCAATCATCTGACTTGAATCCAATAGAAAATAAGAACTACAGATCAGAGTTCATAGAAGAGGCCCGCAGAACCTTCAAGATTTGAAGTATCACACTTGAGCAATGCATGCCACTAGTTTCTTCATACAGGAGGCGTCTTGAAGCTGTCATTACCAACTAAGGCTTTTGTACGAAGTATTCAATACATTTCAGTAGTTCAATACTTTTTCCCTGTGTCATTCCATTTTATTACACAGAAATTAATTTCTGAACTTATTAGTTTTATTTTCTTTGTATGTATGGATTCCTTGGGTTGTTACCAACATCTGGTGAAAATTTCATGTCAACAGCACTTTTAGAAACATGTTTACTGAGAAAAATGGTAACGTGTTCAATACTTATTTTACCCGCTGTACATGTAATACTAATATAATACAAGTAAAAAAATGTACATGTAAAACTAATAATGATTTACTTATATTATATTAAAATATATATACAAAATGTATATCTTGTGTGTGTGTGTGTGTGTGTACACACACATACACAACCTGACATATACAGATAAATGGCATGTTTAAAGACAAATATTAATTTAATTTTAAATAGATAATTAAATATAATTTATTTTTAATAAATTTTTGTTTACTAATATATATTAATATAATACATATAATTAATCATTATATATATATATATATATATAATCTGTTAAATAAATATATTTCTAAATATATCGTATGTTTGTGTGTGTGTGTGTGTATATATATATATATA